ACACTACTCTACAATAAATAATGTCTCTAAATTCCTTGGTTTACCAGGCCCTTCATATCTGGTCATAATACACCTCACTAGCTCTGAGTTTTAGTTACTGCTCCTTCCTATTACATGCTTTAGCTAAATGGGAACGGATTCCTTGATTAGTATGAAATACCTGCTCCTCTGCCTGGATCAATTCCCTCCGTCTCTTCCACAGATATTATTTCCTCCAGAAGCGTTCTCTGACCTCAACCCTTTGTGGTCAGAACATACTCTTATAATACTTATGACATTTATAACTATTTGTTAGTCTGCACAGCCTATTAGACTAACCACCTTGGAAACAGACCACATCTCCAGCACATGGTAGGTTCTCAAATATTTATTTACTAGTGTTAGTGGAAATAATATTAGCTATCATATATTGAGTGCATATTCTGTACCACATGCTGTGCTAACTTCGTACAACAATCCCACAACAAAACATGAGGTCTGAATAAAAGCGTAAGGGCAAGTAATACAGTGAGTGTGTACCATATATCAAGATTGTGCTAAGAGAAATATTATCTCATTTAATCCTATGAACAGCCCTATAAAAGGGGTACTGTTATTCTCACTTACACCTGAGAAAAATGAGACTCAGAGACTGTCATGGAAATTGGGAAAAGAATCTGGGTCTTTCTCAAAAATCTATACTTTTAACCATTATGATATACAACCTCCACAACTAGCTTCTATTTTCTCAACCTCTACCCACGTCATACAATCCAGACTCAGGTTCTAACACGTGCAAGATTACCTTGTTTCATAAAGGGGTGGGGGGAGCGTGGGTTGTCTGAGCTTCCTCTTGAATTGTGCAATAGTTGTATTTTGTTCTCTTTTTGGACCCAAAGACTCATCTTTGCCATCACCACTATGGACATTTTGTCTTTGCCTCTGACTTTCTCCTTTAAAAGGATGCTGAGAATGGTTTGTAGCTTGAACAGAAGGCCAACAACTCATATTCTAATTCAGATATTTTTTCTTTGGAAAGGCTATACTATTTAGCCAAGAAGAGAAACAGATCAAACATCAAGAAGAAGGGGTCAGATGATTAGATGGCTGCATGATATATGGAGCAATAAATGAAATGTCCCACCCAGAGTCATAGCACATCAAGCTTTCAGGGTCCAAAGCAACATGTCTTAACCAGTTTCCTTTTCTGTGATCTAGAGGTAACAAAAGCATCTATTTCATGGGATCATTGTAAAGATTAAATGAGTTAATACACATGAAGCACTCAAAACACTTAGAACATACACAGTAAGCACCGAATAAATCTTAGCTATATTATTACTATTGTTAGAGTTGCAGACTTCTGAGAAAAGCTAACGAAAGCTACAGATACCTGAATCCATAGTTTTGATCCAGAGTCAAACTCCAGGCTTAAGTGGAGGGGGGGGAAAAAGTAATTATAAAAAAAAAAAAAGGTGGTAAAGATCCTAAATGATGCTAAGATCCAAGAGTCCAGAAATAGGGGGTGGGGTGGATTGGCCCAAGTAGGTGGAAGTTTCAAAAACAAAACATGAAGTTACAGAATGAGGAATTGACAAATAACTCGGGTAATTAGTATCCATGTTGCAATGAACACAGGAGATAATTTTATTAAATTTTGTAAATATAAAATACATTTGTATTCCACCTGTTGCTAAAAGTAACTGTGTTTAAAAGTTCAAGAGTATCATATTACCTTCAAAGTCAGCAAGTGATATCAGTAGAAAAGGCAGTTAGGTACCAGAAGTAGAATGGTAGTAAACCCTCCGGCGTATTGTAGACATTTGTTCTCGCTTCCCCAATCTTCCCTAGCTCCGGGAGTCCCCACATTTGGAGGGATGGTCACTGCCCAATGTCGCTACTGCCCAACCTTTCCCTTCTCGTAGGGAACGCACATCACTTAACAACTCCTTCTGGAAAGTGCAGAACAAAAGACTGGAGACGAGAATAGGCTGAGGGAAGGAAGCTAATACTGAGTACCTATAGATAACTGCAAGCACAATGCTGGCCCTGTCATACAAAACTGAATGTAATTCGCGGGAAAAGACTTCACAGAACGGGAAATGCGGATGGGAAAGAAAGAGGTTAGTAGGTGAGAAGGAGGGAGGTTGGGAGAATTCGAGGATTGCAGGCAGAAGTGGATCACGGGGAGACTGCCAGCAAGGGCAGGAGGGAACGAAGGCGAGAGCTGAGAACAGGAGGTGAAAGAGGGGACCGAAGGAGCGAATGGACTTTTGGGTAGCCCGAAACGCCGGCGGGAGGCGAGCTGAACGAGACGTACGGTGTCACCCGCTTACCTTGCTACGCCCCCCGGCGGAGACGCGCTGCTGGGAGCTGGGAGCTGGGAAAGACTGGGAAGGGACGTTCAGCATCCTGGACCCCTGGCCCGGGCCCTGCCCGGGGTCCGCCGCCGGACCAGATCTCTCCGCTAGACCCCCTCTTCGGTAGCACCTACCGCTCCGGCTCCGAGGCCGGGCAGAGGCCAGGCCCCGGACCCACTTCCGGGGTCGCCCGGGGTGAGACGCGCCGTGACGCAGCACGTCGAGGCCGCGGGGGGCGGAGCCAACGAAAAGAACGGAGCGCCGGCGGGGGAGAAACCGGAGAGAAGGACGCATGCTTCGTTAGTCCTGAACCCTGAATTTCAGCACCGCAGTGAGGTGACAGCTAATCTGTGGTAGCATTAAAGACAGAGGGAAGCTGATCCTTACCCTTGGTGCTGACAGACTCCGAGAATAAATTCTCATATGCTCCTGTTAACCCAGAACACAAGTGTCTGTCTATCGTTAAGCACTACCATCACACTACTTGAAATATGGAACAAAATAACACTATCAAAACATTTTGAGTTCTCTGAAACTCTGTCCTGTAAGACACCTGTCTGTACAGGACAGAGAACCTTTAAGAATTAAGATGTCAAATGCAAACAGCCACTCCTACTAGGTGAAGCTTCATCTTTAACAGCCCCGCTAATGACTAACGAATGAGTCGAAGCAGGAAAGTCTCCTACTCGTCACCACTCACAAGTTTTTCCTCTTCATCTAACGTCCTGTCTTCGCTGAAAGATACAAGAAATTGTGTACTGATACAGCCCCAAATGGAGTGATGAGTAGCTATGTTTGATTCAAATAGGTTTAGTTTGAATGCCATCTCTGCACTTAATAAATAAGGCCTTATGCAAGTCATTTTAGTATCTCAAAGTTTCATTTTCCCCATCTGCCTAATGGGTTTAGGTTTCAGTAAGGATTAAATGAGATGTTATAAGTAAACTACATGGTATAGTGCCTGGTTGGTTAATATGTCAATAAATCAATAAATGGCGGTGGCTCTTCATACTATTCCAACATATTGATGAGAGAAGCTCAAATAGCATGCTTAAGGTAAAAACCAGTCCCTAATGATCAAGGTCCAGATTTGTGACCTGGTGGATTTTTTATAAATCCCTTGGGGTAAACACACATCCTGAGTGCAGAATCCAGTAAGGAGAAAAAGTTTTCAGGAGAAGAAATATAGTTGTAAATAACTCCCCCTAATCGAGGCCATTACTCATTTTTCCTGACTGACACATGATTTGAAGTTACTCTATTTCAACCTCCTTGTCCTTAAAGTCAGAAGGCAAATTGTGTGAATCTAGCCATTCAAGTAAGAGACATTTCTTAGCGAGATAACCATGTTGGGCCTTCACCTCTACCTGTCACCATTCTGGGATATCAGGAACCATTTTATTTGCAATTAAAATACTTATTGTGAAAAATTGTATTTAGGCTAAAGAACTTCACAACCATAGTCTACTATGTTACCTTTACCTTGCAATGTACTCCTGTTTTCTTTTTCATTGAATGATGATGTATTCCTCTGTAAGTCTACATTAAAAAAAAAATGCTTGGGGCACCTGGGTGGCTCAGTCCACTAAGCATCCAACTATTGGTTTTGGATCAGGTCATGATTTCATGATTCCTGGGATCAAGCCCTATGTTGGGAACTGTGCTGAAGGGGCGGAGCCTGCTTGGGATTCTCTCTCTCCTCTCTCTGTCTCTCTCTCTCTGTGCCTCCCCTGCTCACATTCCCTCTCTTCCTCCCTCTCAAAATAAATAAATATTTAAAAAATTAAAAATCTAAAAAAATTTTAAATAAAAAATAAAGCTAATCACTCACAATTTCTTATTCACTTCCCACAAGAAAACTTTTTACATGACAATATTAGGAGCAAGGAGCCAGAAGAAAGGAAGGTGATGTTGTTGAAGAATACTGTGTATCTGCCAAATTTCTTAGTTCCCCCTTGGATAGAAATGGAAAAATACCAAATTCTATCGTTTGGCTCCCTTTTTTTGACCCCATGTAAGTCATGCTCACTTATTTTTGTTTTGGTTTGGTTTTAGGGATCCCTCAATGTAGCACTATAATTATTGAACACTCATGCTATTTTACTACTGGATTTAAGGACAACAGAGGAGTATTAAAGTGAGAATGACTTGATTCTTCATTCATTAAACATCTCTAAAATTTAACAGCCTTAACATTAATTCCCATTCTCAATTATAGACAATGAGTTAAAATGTTTTTCACCATCTGCTAGCAAACACATATATTGTGTGATTAGTAACATAAGGTGATTTTCTTCATTATCTAATAATATTTGTCTGCAACTACAATACCTAATCTATCTAAGAAATACTAGTTGTTACAAGATTTAGTCTTGAAAATTAAATATAGTCAGTCTCTGCAAAGTTTTAGCTAAATATTTGCAGAATTATAACTAAAGTTAAATTTGTAATTTGATGAAGAGATCAAAATTATCTTTTGTGAGCCTCAAATACAATCAAGACATTTGTACACTGCACTTATTTTTCACTTCCTACATTGGATTATAATGTAAGGATAAAAAAATGCCAAACTACTTTGTAATTATAAAATATTTCATTTTATTAATAATTTATATACAAATAAATTAATTTAAAAGATTATGATACATTTGTACACTAAATTTAAATTCTATAAGCTTTGAATGACATCAAAGTAACTAATCAGATTAACTTTCACAGATCAGCTCCTCAATTTCATCTTCACTGTCAGAATCTTCATAAAATGAAATTGTGGCTTGAATTGGAAAATTTTTCAGAAGAGCTTCTGCTTCTTGATATAAGTAATCATAACACTTTGATTTGGGCCAAAATAGTCTGAAAGAAGCAGACAACATAATATGCTTTATTTTTTCACATTAAGAATCCTTATACTCATGAAATGTTCAAATTTCAAGTGCTCCATATACTCCAAAGACAATTGATGTATGCCTTTAGATAGTTTTAAAATGTTACTATCACAGGTTTCATGGAGTCTACTTGCCAAAGTATCAATAACTAGTTAATTATTTTAAATCTTTATCCAAGCTGTAAATTGGATCAAATAAATTCACACTAAACCCTTTGTGAGCATAAGATCAGTATTTAGCTTCCTTCAGGCATTGTAGATTTATTTGTTCTTACAATGTACAGAAGAAGGTTTGTTTTCCAATTTCCAAATTCCATTGGGGAAAAAAATGAATCTTATTATTACATTAAAATTTTTGATAGCCAATTTTATAAAGACAATAAAATGTTATGCACCTTCCAGAAAAGCAGAAATCACCTAGTATCTCACTTATAACCCAAAAATTTAACTGTTAGTTACAGATGTAGCCAATGTAAGTTTAGAAAAGTACAAAAAGCAATATTTTTAAAAGTTTTTCTATGCACTCAAACCAGGCATATAAAAAAAACTTCCTCTGACCCCAACCTTGATCACATCTCCCTCTGTTTTCCCCATCCAACTAAATTTGGAAATTCCATATTAAGATATTGAGAATAATACTGGCTTATGCAATAATTTGCATGTAATACAATTACCTTTGATTTTCAAATTTTTGACAAATATTAGTCTTGCCATCTGGTCTTCTATTATTTTTCATCCAAGGAAGAGAAAAGAAGGATATGGCTAACTCACCAACAACAATGCAGTCATTTTAGTGTAGGGTAATTACCTCCACGTACCCAATTATAACAGAGTGATTCTAACAAAGAGAAGGTTATATTATGCTCAGTATACTCCATTTTAAAAGGCAGAAAAGTAGGTAATATAGTTTGTAAATATTTCTAGCCAAATGGTAAAAAAGTTTTTAATTTTGATGCCTAAATAAGTAATCATCAATAATTCATCGTTCAATAAATATTTTAGTGATCCTTTGTGCCAGACATAATTCATAACTCAAAGATGGAAAAATCATGGTTCCCTATCCTCAAGTTGATGATTAAATAAAAAGAATGAAACACACAATAGTAATCAAGATAGAAATTAATGAAAATAAAATAAACTTTAAAGAAGTTCAAATTAATGACGGCTATAGTAGTTGAGAAAAAGAAAGGAATTTCTTATATAGGAAATTATATTATATAGGAAATAATTTTCTAATACTTAACAAGAACTGTCAAATACAAAGAAGGTTGTTTATTATCACACCCAGAATTTCAGACCATTTTTCTTTCAGGGACTTCATACTTTCCTGAATTCTCCCATATGCTGAGTGATTCTTCTCAGTCTCCCTTGTGGACCTCTTTTTTTGCGTGTACAGGTTACCACTGGCCTTCGAAGGGTTTTATCAAGAACGATCATCTCTCCTCCCGCATTCCCCTAGAAGACCTCACTCACCACCATGATTTCCCCAAATACTCATTTACTGAAGACTCTAAACTGTATTTTCATTTAAGATCTGCACTGTGGGCCCGTTACCTATATATGCAGCTCTTTACTGGACCTATCTATTTGGATATCCCATAGGCACATTAAATGTGATAAATGAAAAACTAGATTCGTTACCTTGTTCCCCAAATCTGTTTTAAGCCCTAATTTCTACTCTATTAATTAGCGCATCATTCATCTAGTCATCAGACACAAATTTAGGAGGCATTCTGTCTTTCTACCTCTTTTTTACCTATCATATCCAATACATAATAAAAGCCTATTATGTCACCCAAGCATTCCCCAAATTCCACCAGTCCCAGCACCACTTCTAATGTCTCTTTAGCATATCTTGCCTGAATTACAAGAACTTCCAATTTCACTTCAGTGTTCTAACTAAGCCTATATACCATTTTCCTAGTGCTTTTTCTGAAACATAAATCTGGTCACACTTCTCTTCTGGTTAAAATGCTTTGAGTAAGCCTCAAAAGCATCTACAGAATTAAGTCCATGGGTTCCCAATGCCACATCCAGAATTAGGACAAAACTCTACCAAGGTGTACAAGATCCGGCCTCTGGCTTACCTGCTGGAATGACCACGCCTTCATGTACCCAAATCCCAGCTCCTTGATACTCCCAGAGACAGCCATGGTGTTCTATGACTCTGTTTCCCTTTTCCTATGCTGTTTCTTCTGTCCCCTCTTCCCACACCTGCCATCCAACTGGCTACCTTCAAGACTCAGCTAGGTTTCCACCACCTATCATACACACTTTCCAGATTTTTCCCCACTCCCTGTGGCAGAGTTAGGAGCTTCACGTTTCATCCATACAGGTTAAAACTGACCAAACTAAACTATGACAACACTTGCCAAAGGGGTGTGATTACTTTTTTTCCTGTGTCCATCACTACTGCTGGCACATGGTAGGAAATTAATCAACATGTATTGCCTTCTACATGCTATTTATAAGCACATACATGCAAATATCATACAGGTCTGCATTTCACAGCTCTTTGAAGCAAGCAAACTGCAGAATTTACCTTTCACCTGAATAAAAGCTGCAAAGAATTCTACAGAAAGGCCGACTTCCTATGCCTAGGAACAGCAGACTAGCTCCTCATTGTTATGTCCAGTAACTTCTATCCCTTTTACAGTGCTTAGTGATCTTTAGGATTTTCATTGAAGTCCATTTTCTTTTACATGTCAAGCTCATTTTGCTGTAAAACTGCCACTTTCAACACCATTCTTCCTTCTGGTTTGCAAGAGAACAAGATTATACAGTCTGTGGCGTCTGGGTGACCCGGTGGGTTAAGCCTCTGACTTCGGCTCAGGTCATGATCTCAGGGTTCACGAGTTGGAGACTCGGGATAGGTTCTGTGCTGACAGCTTCGAGTCTGGAACCTGCTTGGGATTCTGTGTCTGTGTGTGTCTCTCTCTCTGCCCCTCCCCCGCTCGCACTTTGTCTCTCAAAAATAAATAAACCTTGAAAAAAAAAAACTTTAAGAAAAGAATATACACAATCTGCCTATCGTGAAATCGATTTCACTGGACCCCTTTAGCATTAAGGAAAAAAAAAAAAACTGGTTTGCAGGCACTGGCTGTCACCGGTCTACGTTCATGATACCATCCACTTTCCCTCTTTATAATATATTAAGAGTTTACTCAGTGTGCACTGATTAACAGTTATTTTAGGTGACAGCGTGAATACATTTGTCAATTCGATTAGTAAAGGCCCTCTGGGATCCGTGAAGACAAGATTTTCCAAGACAGAAAAGCTGCAAGGCCAGCCACGGAGCTAGGCGGTGCGATTCCCCGCTGAGGGAAGGGGAGACCTTCGGGGAGGTCTGCCACTCACCTGACTGGGTGTCTGTACCGGGAAAGCTTGCCTGCGGCTTCGGTCATCCCGGGGCCATCCGGCATCTGTGGACGGAAGGAGACGAATCGCAGTTACCACTCACCTTGTAGAAACGGGGAAAGCGCGCGATCTAGTGTTCCTCGCGCCAGCGGGGAACGTGACCCCGGGGCTCTCGGCAGCCTCGCTCGCGGCCGCGGCCGTGTGTCCGCTGCTCTGGAGGACACACTCGCAGCATCAGGACCCACAGGGCCTCTGGTAGGGAGGGCCTCGGGCGGGTGTGATCTTAAGCGACGGGCAGGCCGGGCGTGTGTCCCTCTCGGGCAGGGCATACCCAGTCCCGGTAGATCATTTGCGCCTCTGGGAGGCGCGGCCCGAGGCGCGCGGCTCACTCACCGCCTCAGCCGCGTGGTGCCTCGCCCCCTCCTCCCCGTCGCCTCTGGCGTCAACCCACGGTCTCCAGAGGCCTGCGGATCTGCGGGGTGAGGGGCGAAAGGCGCGCAGGGGAGACGCGAGCGCAGACTGGGGAGGACAGCCCGCAGCGGAGCCCCGACCGCGGGCGGGTGGGGGGCGGAGAGCGGAGGGGAGGAGCTCGGGAGACGCGGGCGGTAGGGCCTGGGTGGGGGAGGCGCCGCCGCCGGAGTCCGCGCCCCCGCGCCGCGCGGGGCGGTCGGGGGCCGCGGGCGGCAGGCGGCGGCAGCGCGCGCGCTCGCTGGCTGCGCTCTCCGAGGGCTGCCCGGTTTCCATGGCGCGGCGGGGCTGGGGCTGGGCAGAAGGCGGCTGCCAGCTCGGGGGCAAGCCGGACCTCTTCCCTACGCCGCGCCCGAGACCCGAGCTTTATATAGCCCCGGCTGCCTGCTGCATACCGAGCGGTTCGCTCCCTCTCCGCCCCTCTCCCCCCAGCTAGCCGCGTAAACAAAAAGGTTGCGCGTGAAGGCGCGGCGGGCCGAACCTCGGGTGCGAACGCGTGCAATTCCCAAATGGCCCGGGAATGGGTTTTGTCGAGCGAGTGTTAATCGCTCTTCGACACATGGCTGCGGGTGGAAAAACAACATTCGCCCGAGCAGCCGATTTCCAAGTGAAGAGTCTAGGAGGGGATAAAATGAAGCAATTCTACACGTTTTGTGTATTTCTGCAAGAAGGCCGAGTGGCTGGTAATTGCTTGACTCTGGGCTTTTTAGAATATGGTAAAATGCAAGTAGTTCTGCATCCCCGTATTCTAAAGGCTGGGATGCGGACTAAATGAAAAGGAATGGCCTTGACTCCTCTATCTGGCAGAATTGGAGCTGGGTGAATGAATGCGCTCCTAACCAAAGGAAATTTTTGTTAATGTATTCACAGACTAGGTTCTGCCCATTATTATGTGTAGAGAATTTTTTAAAAATTCACAAAAGGTGAATTGTAAAAGACTCTCCCAGCTACCAGAGCCAGAGATTGGAGTGATGCGATTAAGGCATATAGCTCTGTATTAAATTCTCATATCTTTGTTTCATTTTCTTCAACGTCTAAGCAGTCCCCTGGAGGTAAGTCTAGAATTTCATGTATACACTTGGGTCACTAGTTGGCATTTTGTCTCAATGATAATTAGAAAATTATTTTGTGGAGGCAGAGTTGTGTAGAATGATAGTAAAATCTTAAAAAGTTATGGGACAAGTAAGTTGTCAACCTCTCTGTGCGCCTGTTACTCTTATTTAATTAAGTTAACCCTCACTTATTACAAAAGGCCATTAAACTTGGTAAAAAGTGTCATGCTTCAAAAGAAAGATGATATATAAATGCCATATTTTTCCAAAACGTTTTAAATAAGAGCTGAAATTCTTAAAAGTTGTAGACAAAACTTTTATACATAAGCCGCAGTGTCTCTGCTATTCATTCAGCTACTGTGTAGGAAAATAATCTAATTAATACTTCAAGATCTATAATGATCTACCTATAGATCTGAAACAGTAAGGATAGGTAGCTAATGCATGTATAGCTAATGCATACCCTAGAATTATTGTTGGCTAAATAAAATAAAATTTGTAGAATGCTTGATATAATGCCTCACACATGATAAGCTCTCAACAAATTTTAAATGATTTTATATATATATATATACTTTTTAATTTGAGAGAGAGAGAGAGAGCATGCGAGCAGGGAAGTGGGGCAGAGGGAGAGAGAATCCCAAGCAGTCTCCAAGCCCAGTGCAGGGCCTGACTTGGAGCTCATGACCCTAGGATCAAGATCTGAGCTGAAATCAAGAGTCAGATGTTCAATCGACTGAGCCACCCAGGTGCTCCTTAAGCTATTTTTAAAAATCGAACCCCTTAACAGAGACTAAGCTATCTGATAAAATGTTTCACCATTCTAGTTTATAAACATCTTTTAAGTCCTGTGCTTTCCAGATGTAACGGTGAATAAGATATCCTCCCCTGTCCTCAAGAGGTTTCTAGTCATTGTGATCTATGACCATCGCAACGGCCACATAAGCAAAGGTTTTGAAAAGAACGTTTGCTAATAAAAGCTAACAAAATCACATTTTAACCAGAGAAGTGGTGCAAGGGAGGGGATGGACAAGTCTATTCAGAACAATCAGGAAAGCCTTTCCAGAGTAAAAGAAATCTAAGTTGGATTTCTAGAAGGATCAGTAAAGAAATAGTATAGTCTGTGTGTGTGGTTCAGGAGGCAGAGGAGAAGGAACGTCACTTCTAGAGGGTAAGGACTGCTGGAGCAGAGATGTGGTTGAGGAGATAGAAGGGCTTGGGCTATCAGGAGCCTAATATGCCAAAATAAAATATTTTAACTTTGTTCTGTAAGCACTTGTGAAATATTTTTGGCAGGAGTGTGGAATGGTCAAAGTTTACATTTTATAAAAGTCATTCTGACAGCCATATGGAAGACAGATTCAGGGAAGGCTGATACTGGGAACAAGGAGATCACTTACAAAGTCATTGCAATAGCTCAGCCAAGAGCTAATGAGAAGATGTATAGTAAGGATGTAAATGAAAGAACGTATTTTTTTTTAATGTTTTATTTATTTCTGAGAGAGAGAGAGAGAGACAGAGAGAGAGAGAGAGAGAGCAGGGGAGGGTGAGAGAGAGAGGGAGATACAGAATCTGAAACAGCCTCCAGGCTCTGAGCTGGCTGTCAGCACAGAGCCTGACGCAGGGCTCAAACCCACAAACCGTGAGATCATGACCTGAGCCAAAGTCGGACGCCTAACCAACTGAGCCACCCAGGCACCCCTGAAAGAACATATTTGAAGGATACTTGGGAAACAGAATCTACACTACTACCTGAATCATACAATGTGGGTGGACATGAAACTGGAGTCTACATATGCTTCCCAGGTTTCCATCCTGGTTAAGTGGGTGAATGGCAATGGCTCAAAGACAGAGAAAACAGGAAATATAGGAGGAAGAGCAAGTAAGATATGTTTATGTTGTTTTATTCTGTTAATCATGCACAGGGGAAAAATAATGAATTTGGCTTTTGGATTTTGCATCAGTTAGGTCAGGCGGGGCTCTGCAACAATAACAAACTCTCATAAACTTAAAATAACAAATGTTTATTTCTGAGTCATGCTGTATTCTTTTTTTGATTGGTAGGATCTGCTCCACATCATCTTCACTTAAGGGTACAACTTCCTGGAACCTCTTTCTTCTGGAATGGTACCAGTTGTCATAACAGGGGGGAAGGGAATAAAATTAGCAGATTTTTGAAGACTTGGTAACATGTAGGTGGAGAGGATATCCAAAGGACAATCAGAAATATAAGGTCTGAAGTTCAGTGGAGAGTTTAGGACTAAAGATTTAAATGTGAGAGTCATAAGAAAAGAAGTAATAGTAAAAGGCGAAAGATTTATGCAATCTGAAGAGAAACCAGAGAAGGGGGGAAATGTTGGGGGAAAGGGAGAGAGGCAAACCATGAGAGACTCTTGAATGCTGACAAAAACTGAGGACTGATGGATGTGGGGGGGGGGGGGGGTTGGGCATGGAGGAGGTCACTTGTGGGGATGAGCACTGTGTGTTATGTGGAAACTAACTTGACAATAAACTATTTGTAAAAAAGAAAAAGAAGAAGAAGAGAAGTAATAGTTTAAAACAGTAGGGACTGATTGGTTTTCCCAGGGAAGTTTGTAAGTTTGAAAACAGTACCAAGGACAGAGCTCTGGAGAGCACCGTTTGACTGTGAAGTGAGAAGAGATGCAAAACAGAACAAAGCAAAACAAAACCTCCCTGAAAAGGAATGGTAAAGGTAGTAAAAGGTGCACTTGTAGAGCAGGTGTGGTAGGAACATGGGACGAAAGAATTGCAATGAGGAAGGAAAGGTCGAAGGCATTAAATACCCCCACCGGGTCAAACAAGATAAGGATGCACGTTAATTTGAATCTGGCAATTAAGGGGTTATAGTGACTTTAAAATATCTTGAGTGTCTGAAGATCAAAGCTTTCTTACAGTGAGTTGAGGTACAGAGGTGAAAAAATAAAAACAGTATGTTGAGACTACCATTTTGAGAGGAAAAAGAGATAAGAGGGATGCTGGGTCAGTAGGGGGAGTTGTTTTTAGGGTGTAAAAAGCAGGAGAATGTTTATAAGATGAAGAGATGAGGCAGGAGAGGAGACGCCACTAGATAAAGGGGACTGGACAATGGCCCAGGGTCCCCAAAGAGGAAGGAAGAAATGAGATCAGAAGCCATGGGGAGGATTGTCATGTGGTTGGAATGTATGTGCCAGTGATTACTCAAGAAACAAGTTTAATCAAAGTGACTAATCTGGTGTAAGGAAGGAGGGGGTTATGTGATGATGAGAAGTGAATGTATGACAATATCAATTGTCTTAAAATTGTGGAAAAAAATGCATTACCAGAAGGAAAATAAAGGAGAACCAATTAATAAAAATATGGTAAAATCTATACTTGACCAAATTTAGGTAAACTGAGAATGAATATCCCAAGTCTTCCATTTATATATTTATTTAATTTATTCCACTTATTTAAACAGATGTTCAAGCTTGTTTCCAGTGTGGCCAAGGCCAATATAACTTATTCTTGTTACCTTTAAAATTTATTTTAGAATTCTATATGAGTCCCACTAGTGAATTTAAAATGCATGCTTTTTTACTGAGATAAAATTCACATATAATATTATGTTAGTTTCAAATGTGCAACATAATAATTCATTATGTTTATACATTATGAAATAATGATCACAATAAGTCTAGTTAACATCTATCACCACACATAGTTACGTTCTTTTTCTTGTGATGAGGACTTTTAAGATCTACTCTATTAGCAACTTTCAAATAATGCATTATATATAATATATATTACATATATATAACATAAAAAAGAAATTCTTATATACAAAAATATTTTATATATTATATATTTTATATATAATGCATATATAATATATACATTTTTATATAATATGCTTTACATTTTTATATTATATATATTACATTTTCTTTATCCATTCATCTATTAAAAAATTTTTTTTTGCATTTTTTATTTATTTTTGAGAGACAGAGTGTGAACTGGGGTGGGGCAGAAAAAGAAGGAGATACAAAATCCGAAACAGGCTCCAGCCTCTGAGCTAGCTGTGAGCACAGAGCCTGATGTGGGGCTTGAACCCACAAACTGTGAGATCATGACCTGAGCCGAAGTCGGACGCTCAACAGACTGAGCCACTCAGGCACCCCATATCCATTCATCTATTGATGTACACTTAGATTGTTTCCATATTTCGGCTTTGACAATTGTGCTGCA